CCCCCCCCCCCAAAAATTTCACGATACGCCCATACTTACGCCGTAATATGTATTATACAGGATATATCAAAAGTCTGAAAACGATCGAATATCTCAAAAGTAAAATATTTTTGAGAAAAATGTTTCAAACAAAAGTTGGATTTAAAAAGTTCTATTCACTGATCATATCCGCTTGACTTGATGGCGTTGTCAAGGTCGGTTCAAGGTCAAATTGATTTTTTTAAACGAAGCACCTTATTTTTGATGCCCGAATCTAATATTTACTATATAACTGCCAAGAGTTTTTCAAAACACTATAATAAAGTTATTTTTCATTAAGTACTTTTCGAATTATAAGGCTTAAAAGTTCAACTCGCACATAAACTTGCAGTATCATTGCAGAAACGTTGCAACATTGCAGATAGCGCTATAATATCGTTGCAACATTATAGATATTAGAAATTGTAATGCACTTATAATTATATATGACGACGCAAGATTTTATTAATCTTGCAACATTGTTACAAAGACATTAAAAATATTTTGGATTTTGAGTAATGAACTGCTATCATATATGGACACATACATCAATTACACGTTATATGATTGTTAATTATTTCCATTAATTATTTAGAAATTATAATGTTCGTTGAAACATTCCCACACGACACACGGGCGTCCTGTCCGAAAAATGGATGCCCATTTGATATCCATTTTATATCCCGTTTATATCTATTAAAAAAAACGCCCAAAGGGCATCCTATGGGCGCTTGTTTTAGGTTCCCGATCATCCATTTCTGAAATGGACGTGCAATGGGCATCTTATAGCTCCGGCACACCGTGTACACGCTGCACTCGTTGCAGATTGGTTATCGTGTGTCGGTATTACACTCGGTATTACGTATATGTCGCAATAAAGCGGGGAGCAGACTTTTGCATAATGCATAACACATGAGGCATAAGAAAATGAACCAATCAAAATGCTTTATTTCCTTCTTTTCCGTGAAATAAAGGTCTATCGCGTCACGACGCGTCGTGAAAGTGAGAAAGAGAGAAGTATACATATACACAACCCTTCTCTTTCTCTCTTTCGCGTCGCGTCGTGACGCGATGGACGACGTGACGCGTGACGCGATAAGTGGAAACGTACCCTATCGCGCGCAGATGGTGTGCCGGAGCTATAAGATGCCCATTGCAGCAGCCATATATTGCATTATCCTGTAGAGACCGGTCGCTGCAGCCATATTGCATTATTATCTTGTACAGATCAGCCAAGAATCAAGAACAGTTATAGTGCAATTACAGAGACTCATTGCATGTGCATTGCTAGTGCTTAGAGAGTGGCACCCAGTTGGACACGGCTCAATTGGACACGAGCCACTCACAGCGCTTGAGACTACAAAGCTCCTAAGCACCGGTCGCTGTGATTGGTGGTGTCCAATCGAGCCGTGGTCAATCGGGATCATCCCGTGCTTAGACAGTGTCCGCTTGGAATATTTCCAATCCATGTGGACAGTGGGGTGTGTAGACAGTAATGCTTAGGTTCGGGGCGGCTACGCTGCACAGTGGGCGGAAAGGCTCCTTTTGTGGACAAAATTCGACCGACGCTCTAATTCTTAACCGATTTTTAAGTTTTTTTTTAATTTGTTCAAAATTGAATGAGCTATAAGCCTGTTGTGCGTAAATTTTGATTACTGTCCGAATTAGGAATGGCCGATCCAATAAAATGAGCAAAAAATACGATAGCGAATGAATTCGTAACAAAACAAATCGTGCAAGTATTTACGCAAAAATGTTATTATGTGTTTGCGTATGTATTGCACATCGAAAATAATAAATCTGTAATTTGAATAAAAAAATGGCGGATGTGAAAAAATGAAGGAAAATTCAATAAATATCAGAATTTTCATGAAAATATATCCAAAAATAAGGGAAGTTCTTTTCTGTCATTATATACGAAGTGTGATCAAAAAGTAAGGTGACTTTTTGAATTTCGCGCGCTCTGTACACTCTAATTTCAAAATTTTTTTTTTGATGTGTTGGTACACTCGTCACGATCATATGTTCACAGTTTTGACTATATAACATGTGTTGTTTTTATGTGAGAGGCATAAAGGTTAGACTCGTGTTTGCG